TCTGGGAATGTGATGGCAGAGCTGGACTTAAATGACACATTGGTATCTGACAGAGGGAGAGAGAGAAGTGTATTTTACTTCAGAAAAATACACACAATGACACACATGTAGGTTTAGCTTGGAAGAAAGTAAATGCAGTTGCAGGTACAGTTGTTATCTGGCTAAACAGATACGAATTAAGCCATGAAAATCTTTCTGTGTTTGGTGTGTCTGCCATCAACACTGTAGTTTACTTTTAATGCCAGATATATTATAAAGCACACAGAGGACCTGGGTATGGTGGTGCATGCCTTTAATCCCAGCACTCAGGAGGCAGAGGCAAGTAGATCTCTGTATGTTTGAGGCCAGCCTGATCTACAGAGCGAGTTCCAGGACAGAAAGGACTGCGACACAGAGAAATCCTGTCTCAAAAACACAAACACAAACAAAACAAAGCAAATACAGGAAATCTACAGCTTTTGCATCTCAGCACAGACTAAAATATGGCATCTGTCACTTCATATTGATGTTTTTGTTACTGCAGACTGCATAAACTATACTGGTCCATGATACTGGAGAAGTGAAAAATTGCTCTTGCCTGGTGACACATTGGCCATCCCAAGGCTACACTATAGAGTGTACATAGCAATGAACTGAGATCCCGAGGAACTTATGTCTTCCAATGACTGGGGTCAGTATAAATAAACAAAACACATGTGGCTCCCAGTTGTCTTATCTATACTGACACTAAACACCACTTGGAAGCAATACTGGAGGGAGCAAGGAACCGTGTGAGAAGCAGGAGGAAGGCCCTCCCAGTTCAGGCATGTTGACATGAGTGCCCCAGCCTCCAGAAGCAAGGAACAGATTTTGTTCTTTATAAGTAACTGACTCTTTGTTTGTTGTAGCAACACCAAGTACTAAGATGATAGTGGTCTTTTCTGTAAATTTAGGGGGCAAGAAGAATGGAAAAATGAGGCCAGGAAAGAGGACTTCTGATACATGTGTCACAGTTTTACTGTGGTCTAGTAAGGGGTTCTGTGGTGATGACATAAGCCATTCTTTTATTATGTACTAGAATGTGATAATTCTCTAATTCTTTGTTTTGCTATGTAAAGTTGCTTGATGTTCATGATGGCATTTCATAATTTGTAATATTCCAGGGTTTGTTTTTCTTGCCAAGTTTTTATAAAAGATTTTTATGTGAGTGTTTTACCTGCTTGTATGTCTGTGTACTGCTTGTGTGAAATACCTGAGGAGGCCAGAGAGGGCGCTGGAGTTACTGACGATCATTAGGTGCCATGTAGGTGGTGGAAACCAAACCAGGGACCTCTGGAAGAGCAGCTAGCCCTCGTAAGCAACCTGTCATCTCTCCAGCCCGTTTGTTTTTTAGTGTGGAATATGCCTTCCAAAAGAAGGCAACAGCAAATTGGAGATACAGATTAGAGTACAAGCTGTTACCTACCTACCTCAGAGGCAGGCTAGAACCCTACTGGTCCAGAACTCCTGGATGTGTCCCTGGTGGCTTGTGTTCTCTTCTCTCTTCAGAATTATGTATTTTAAGTTAGTCATTTCTTTGCTTTCTGGTATGCACAAGGTTCAAAGCTCTGTGTTTGACTTCTACTATAACCACAAAAGCAGCACAAACAAAAGCTTTGGGAAATGGAGTCATCTGCATGTGCCCTTCTGTGACATTCTCCTTCTTTATCTCTGTAGCTAAAGGCAGAACCCAAAGCACCATACATGGTAGGCTAATGTTCTGCGATGCCCTTTTGATTGATTGATTGATTGATTGATTTTGAGGCAGCATCTCACTAAGTTGGCCAGTCTGGCCTCGAACTTCCAGTCCTCTCAACTCAGCTTCTCAAGCAGCTGTGCTCACAGGTGTGCACCACCATGCCCACCAAGATCTATGCAGGACTGTTGCTAAGAGTCATTCAATGTGCTTTGTTTTCACTGAGTAGACATGCCTCAGCTGTCACCTTGTGGACATTGGGTAGTTTTCAGGCTTTCGTTTTAAAATCTTTATTAGCATGTGTTAATTATCAATGATGGACTTCATTGCCACATTTCATATATCTATATATTTTGATCATATTCATATTTCCCCATTACCCTTTCTTTTTTTATTTTATTTCATTTGTATTGGTATTTTGCCTGCATGTATATCTGTGTGAGAGTGTTAGATCTTGGAGTTACAGACAGGTGTGAGCTGCCATGTGGGTGCTGGGACTTGAACCTGGGTCCTCTTATAACCACTGAGCCATTTCTCCAGCCCCATTTTATTCCTCCTATTCTTACTGGCCCTTCCATCTAGTGTGTGTGTGAGAGTATGTATGTGTGTGTGAGTGTGTGTGTGTGTGTGTGTGTGTGTGTCTGTTTTAATGGCCCAGTGTGTTGCATTAGAATATTTACATGATCTGACTAGTGGTTGCACCACTGTGTCCCACATGGCTTGGTCCTGGAAACCTTACTGGGTGATGAGGAAATGAAGAAATGATAGACACTGAAGAAACAGCAGAAAAGCTGGGAGTAGGCTGTGGTTTCTCTGATGGAGGCCACCTACTATGCAACCCAGAAATTCAGCTGTATTGTCATGTGCAGAAGGAGGGGTTAGCCAGTCTCTGTGGGAGGTCTCTGTAGGGGACAGTCTCTGGTAGTGGTCATCCAGTAGGAGGGTTACTAATTCTTGCACTCACTTGCCAATCATATGTAAACACTTGTACTGGACCAAAGGAGAGCGTTGCAAGTTCTCATGGGTCTGAGGCATGGCTGTGTCGCTGTCTAATAACACATGCACTTCATCTACTCCCCACACTACACTGCTGAAGCAATGCCTCCTCACCATTAATGCTATGTGAATCCCCCAGGTTGGGGTTGGAGTTGCATGAGCTCTCCCATGACAGGATATTTAGGGCCCAGCTGTGCAGATGTCTTGCAGGTAATCCTAGCTGCTGTGAGTTTAAAAGTGCAATCATAAAAAAGAGACCCGACATGTGCAGTGTTTCATATCACCCTTCTCCTCTCTGCTCTTACATTTCCAGCCCTTTCCCTGAGCTTTGACATGCACACGTGATCATCTGTAGCCCCTGTCTGGCTGACTACTTGACTGTTACTCGTCCTCATCACTCAATCAGATATGAGTATTTGCAGTTACTGCTACCAATTGCAAAGAACAGCTTTTCTCACTAAAACCGGCAGTAGTAATAATCCACAGATATAAAAGTACTAGAAGGCAATTGGATGGACACATCATGTCCACTTAGCAAAAATGAGCATAGATAGGCCCACTAGCACCTGTGGAATCCCTAGCATGGGCTTCTGACTGGGTTTACAATAGCAGACAATGATTTACTCCTGCATAGTGGTCCTCAGATCTCATCAGAGGGCTTCTGGTTACCACAAATAGACTTGCAACTATTGCATCAATGGGCACATATTTCCCGGCCTTGGTAGTGTTGCATGCAGAATCCAGAGCTAGGTTGGACTGTTCACCATTCTCCAGCCTCAGCAATTTTCAGCACCTTGAGGGGCCAGTCAGCAGGGTGGAAATTTCTAGCCCATTCCAGTGTATGGTGTCTTCATCAGTGGACTTTTAGCATCTAATTCTGATGAGTAGCCAGCATGGCTGGAATAGCTTTGTGGGTGTCCTAGGTGACAATAGATTATTGTACTGTATGGTAACAGAATTGCTAGAACCTACAGGATGCAGGTACTCAGTTTCAGAATATCAGACTATTTCCCCCGGAAGTCGTGACTACTTGTTTTCAGTAGCTGTGAAAGGACTTTCTTCACTGTTGTATTTTCTTGTTGTCAGAATTACAGATTTAATTTTTTTTTTTGGCCAGTCTGGTGATATGAATGAAGTCTTTAAGGGTCTGAGTATGCACATCCTTCATTAACAGTTTCCTTCATTAAAACGAGGCTCGTGTTAGGGGCTTGTGCTTCTTACTTTTTTACTTCTGTGCAATTGATTTTAACCATTTTAGCCATGAGAATTCCTTTAACATTTTTACCATGTGTGTGGTGGGTTGAGGTGGGGAGTGCACATATCCTATGGTATGGGTGTGACAGTCAGAGGACAACTTGTTCTGTCCTTATGGGTCCTGGGATTTAACTTGGGTCTTTGGGCTTGGCATCAGGTGCCTTTCCCTGCTGGGTCTTCCTGGAGAATTTGTCATCTTCATACATTCCAGAGACTAATCATTTATCAGCTAATGGTGTTGTAGGCATCTTCTTGGTCACTAATTGGACAGAGGAGGTGAGGAAGAAGTGGTAATGTGGATTTCTCCTTTGGGAAACTGAGTGGATGATGGTGCAGTTAAGTCTATAAAATAGAGGTGAAGACACAGGGCTAGGAAAGAAATTAATTGATTGCAGGTTTTCCTGTGCAGTATTCTGGCAGAGATGTCTTGGATCTAGGAGTCTGTTCTGCTTCCCTTTCTGATGCTGTGCTAAACACCAAAAGCAACTTCAGGGAGGAAAGGGTTTACTTAAGCACCTGTTTTCAGCTCACGGTCTATCACCGAGGGAAGCCATGGGAGGAAGTTGGAGCAGAAATCACGGAGGCAGCAGCTAACTGGCTTGCACTCTGGTTTGCTTCCCCTGACTCATGCTCAGCTAGTTTTCTTATGCAATGGAGGCCCAGGGTGACACTTCCCTGAGTGGGCTAAGCCCTCTGATATCAAGTGTCAGTCAAGACAGTCACCCTCAGACATGGCCACAGGCCAGTCTGATCTATCTATTCCCTCAGTGGAGACACCCTTTTTCCCAGATGACTCAGTTGTGTGGAGTTGACAATAAAAACTAACCAGGACAGGGTCTGTGCCCATGTCATTCTCATGCCTTGCCAGTCATATAGGAATCTTGCATGATGGGCCTTGAGGAACTTAGGAGGAGTGCGATAATTATGATTCATTTGTCCTCTATCTACCCCCACCCCAACTTCCTGTCCAAGCCATTGAGTCTATAAACCTCTGAAATCATTCAGTCAAATGACCCACAACAAATCTCATATTAGTTGTTATTACTTTATTACCTTTTATTTTCAGTACAGTACATTATTTTTATTTTAAAAACCATCCAACACCTTTTGTGTTGTATAGCATTCAAAACCACTTGTTTATATAAACTTCTCTAATTCCTCATTGACATACTTAATTATACAAATTCTTCCATACACAATGAAAATCGTACAAAACATACATCTAGGAACTCTACTTTGCACAGTTGTTCATTAAATAATACTTATACACACATTTCCATACATTTATAGCTTCCTGTAAGTATTCTGAGTTATGAAGTTGCCTTGGGAAGATGGCTGTAAGCCATGAAGTAAAAGTTTGTTCTTAGGAGCGGGCAGGTGGTAGTCTTATTGTGACTGTATTTAAAATAAAAGAACCTAGGTAACTGAAGAGATCTGCTAACACACCTTAAGATAGGGAGGTTGAGGAGCAGGCAGGGCTTGACACAAGACTAAGAGTGTAGCACCTCAGTGTAGCTTATATAGTACAGCGCCAGGAGAGCCATTGCAGCTGTTTGTGTGAGAACTCAGGACCAGCTCTTTCTAGAGTTGGGAACTCTAGTCACTGGAGTTACTGTTGTGTCAGGATGAGGAGCTGTCCATCATTCTGCAGGAATTGACCTGATGTCACTAGGATAGCAGCTGATGTGACCATGGTTGGTCACCTTTAAGGAGAACTATGGACAATAAGGGCTAGCCATAGGCCGACGTGTAAAGAAGCGATGGAGAGGTGGGCTCTCTGCTGCCTGTCTGTCGGTCACGGCACTGTGCGATTGGCTTCCCTCTGGTTAAGAGGCTCTTTTAGCTCTGCAGGAAGAAGACAACATATTGAGTGGAATAGATTCTGGCTTCAGTCTGGGAACCCAAAGACCCTTGGGGGAAAAGGCTTGATGCCCTTCCCTCTGCTATGCAGTCACCATCGGTCACAGCAGCTGTTTTTAGTGAGGAAATGGGGAAAGTTGGACAGCTTTACCTGGACAGTTATAACTGCTCAGAGACTGAAATGACTACTTGTCACTCCTAGACATTAGGCATTGACGGCCTGAGGTGGCACCTCAGTGTCTGTGTAAATGGAGGTGGGGAGGGGCACATGACATGTGGCAAAGATCCCACAGCAAAGCCAGTGCAGGTGTTACTTCCTAAGACTGCCATTTCCCCAAAGAGCAACAGCAAGCCCACCTTTTTTGGCTAACTGCTTTCAATAAATTCTTGATGGCCTTAGACTCTGGGTTCAGGCATCTCTTCTCCTCAGTCTTTTTCATTGTGACACTGTGGAAATAAACAGGGAGACAGGTGGATTAACATCAGGCCAATGCAAGAGGACCAACCATACAGGCCCACGTTAGAACCCCAGTTCCACTCGTTAGAGTCACCACAGAGGAGCCTTTTTGCTGGTCTTACCTGATTACCATCCCACGTGTAATATGTGGTTACATAAGGGAAGTTAGCAGCAGGAGGGTTTTACTCACATGATCTCAACACGTGGGCAGGATTGACTTGCAGGAATAATTTCCAGTTTTTCTAAGGCTCTCGGTTTTACTGGCCGGTCATCGAATTTGATGCAAGAGCAGCGGACTGTTCTTGAGAGAGGGATCCCTGCAGGAAGATCCCGGCAGAGCAGGGAGGGTTAGCCTACTGCTTCATTTTAGGCACTTAATACAGGTGAGGCAATGGTTAGCAGAATATGTCCCCACATTGTCACTTAATCTGAGAAGAGATGTAGCCCATCGTGTCGTAGGTGTGAGTGGCTAAATAGCTTATTATCATGAAGAAGGGAGCTGCATGCGACTTGTTAATAATCATGTCCTTAGGTATAGATCATGTTATTGATTAGACTTACTTAGGGAGGCATCTGTCTTACCCCTCTCTCCTTCCCCATCTCTCCCCTTCCTCTTCTATCCTCTCACGATTCTCCCCTCCCTACCTCTCCCTTTCCTCCCTTCCTTCCCTTCTTCATTCCCTTTCTCGTATTCTGGTTTTCTCTGACCTCAACCAGCACGAGATAGTTCTGCAAGCAGGAGGCATCTCTGCCTGTTTCCCTCTCTTCCGTAGGTACACACCGTGTTTAGAATTAGCCCAGTCATCTTTTTGACTTGGATAACTCAACAGCCCTGGTGTTCCTTACCTTGAGTCCCACTCAGACTCAGCAGAATGAGGCAGAAAACAAGGACAGCACTTGTGTTCATGATGCTGACAGTGGTGGCTTCTTGTTGGCTGGCTTGGGATGGATGTCAGCAGTGATAAATGCCTGGTGAAATGCTGGGCTACTGTGCAGTATTTATCTGCAGAGTTTCCCTCCCTGTCTCTTGATTGGATGGCTTTGGAGTTGGCTCAGCAAGACTTCAATATCCTTTAAGGGAAGTCCCCTATTGCAAAACCGAGGTTATTGGTGTTTATTGTGAGTTCTGAGTTTGGAATTTCCCTCTGTGCTTCTTTTAATTTTTAACAAGTGAACGAGTGAGTTAGGTTTCACTTTCCAAAGCTGTTTGAGCTGTTTGAGAAACAGTGCACTGTGGAATGTTTGAAGATGGCTTTAAATCTCACTTTCCCCTCTTGTAAAACAGACAGCTAATATTTGAGTCAAGTCCCAAACATGGCTTTGATTTTTGTTGCATTTTCATTATTTACTTTTGCTTTTTTAAAAAATAAATTTGTTTATTTATCTTGCAATTATAAAAAATTGCAATAAATAAAAGAATCACATACCAGATATTTTCATTAATTAATCAGATCCAAAGTCTATATACAACTTAATGAATTTCTGTGTGGTTAGAATAGGCATTCAGAGCAGAAGTTATGGAACCTCACATCAGGTCTTATACCGAGTGCAGGTGATGGTCACGAGTGGCAGAAGAGGGTGTCCTCTTGTCCCAGTTCTGACCCTGTCATGGATTTCTTGATTGTTTTCTTAGCGAGTGTGGCAACAGGGGATCAAGGGTGAAAGTAACACCCACTGGATGGGGGCATCCCTTTCAGTGCATCGGCTGAGGTAGCAGATACTCAGAACCTAGAAAACTATTTTGGACGTCTTTCACAGAGGGCACAGTGACCCAGGGACAGGCCAGGACATGGCAGTGATTCATCCTGGGCCAGGGCTGTTGAACCTAGCATGTACTGGTTCACAACTGCCTTGGATGCCAAGAATGAAGCCTGTGTTTGCAAACTGGACCTGCATAACAGGAACTCTATCTCCTGCTAGAACAGGAAGAGAGATGCTGTTTGGGAAAGCTGGAAATTTCTAGAGTGCTAGATCCTAGGTTGGTATAGTCCAAGGACTAGAACAGAGCTAAGCTTTCAAGTGAACAAGTCAGACAGCTGTGGGAATCTGGGAGGACAGAAAGGAGGGAAATGAGGCCAGGGGTGACAGAAGCCAAGAGACTTTGGTGTTGTCTGTGAGGGGGTGCCACGAGGAGCCCCTCCATATCTGCTTCTGCAGAATAGAAATGTCAGGATTTTAGAGTGAACTCTGAATGGGTGGGATGCTGAGCAGGGTTGCATTAAACAATAAAGAAGATACATGGTGACAGTTTTATTTTTTTATTGTACAGGTTTGCAAGATACAAAGAAAGCAGATTGGAGGTAGATAGCAAATGGGCTAATAGTCATTTATGAAGAAGAAAATGTTTTAGTAAGAACTACTTGGCATTAAGTATCTGTTAGTCACTCATGGAGCTTTTACTCACTGAATCCCTTGAAGGACCCAGGACCCGCATCTCTGTAGCCCACACTCTGAAATGCTTGGTTACAAAGAGCAAATTTGTGGTTGAGTTCCTGATTTCCCTTCTGTCTCTTCACTTGGCTGAAGTCAACTGTGAGTTTATTTTGGAGTTTCTGGAACTAAACATCTAGGAAAGGTTTAAGTTAGATTTATTTTACACGGAAGTTCACGCTAGAATGAAAACATTGCATGCATGTGCTACCCAATAAAGAGACGCATGATAGGCACACACTTGTATTTTTAAGCAGTCCTCTTGACACTTCACACTGAATTCTGACACAGATTATAGCAAGTTTGGCATATGTATCATGGAATTTTTGTGGCGATGGGAAAAATATTTATTTCTTCCTACATATTGAAATCTAAAATAAGAAACAAAAAACCCAAAACCAACCAACTACAAAGTTAATGTCAAATGATCAAAATAAAGATCATTTGGAAGTTTCCGGGAGAATATATGGTGTCATAAATGCTTTGAAGACACCTGAAGAAAAGGTCAGCTTCAGATGAGTCTTAATAATGGGGTGTACTTTACATGCACACGTTTAATCCCAGCACTCTGGAGACTGAGGTAGGTGGATCTTTGTGAGTTTGAAGCCAGCTTGGTCTACATAGTGAGTTCCAGGATAGCCAGGACTGTTACACAGAGAAACCTTGCCTTGAAAAAAAAAAAAAAAAAAAAAAAAGAGTGAGGTATACTTACAGGATGTGTGTGGTGGTGCATACCTTTAATCCTAGCATTTCAGAGGCAGAAGCAGGTGGATCTCTCTGAGTTAAAGCTAGCCTGGCCTACTGAGTTCTAGGACAGCCAGGACTATGTAGAGCTCACCTCAAAGAAAACCAAGAGTGAGATGTACTTAAATGGCCAGGAGGGGAAGCATAAGCAAATATAGGCATGCCACCAAAACACAAATACAGAAGAAGCCGACAAGCCAGTCAGGAAGGTTGATGAGTGGCATGGGGTATTGATCCCTTGTTATGGCCTGGAGTTCAGCTTTGCAGGTTTCAAACACTCATTGTCCCCAGTTTATTCTCAGCATGCTCTTGGAGAGTTAATTATGCCAAACAAATCTGATAAAGACTAAGACACAAATTATTATTATTTTTTGTTGGTGGTGGTTTTTCAAAACAGAGTCTCACTGTGTAGCCCTGGCTGTCCTGGAACTAGCTTTGTAGACCAGGATGGCCTTGAACTCAAAGATCCACTTGCCTCTGCCTCCCCAATGCTGAAATCAAAGGTCTGTGCTACCATGCCTAGTCTAAGATGCAAATTTAAAAGTTTATTCCTTGCTGGTGTGGGTCTTCCAATGACTGGGATGGCTGGTTGAGATAGTTATTCAGACCACACCTGTTCCAGGATCAGGATGCCTGGGAATGTTAATTAGGAGTCTATGTTCTGCTTGGCCAGAAGAGAAGCAAAACAAAGATTCCTTCTCTTGTTTTGCATGGGAACCTGATCGGAGCATAAACCTCATGCACATGACCCACATGGGAAATTGTTGGAGAACAGCTATAGTTTGTGTATCTGTAGCAAACCTGCCGTGAATGTTCCAGTCATTGCCTACCTGCATGGGGTATTTGGATGAAAGAAAAAAAAAAGTGGGGGGGAGTAGTAACTCTTTATTTTTCTTTCAAAAACTCTCAAGGCTTTTGGTACATCTACTAGAATTCACTGTTCAGGGCTCACTTTGGAAGAAAGTAAATTAAAGGAGTTGGTGTCAGTTTCCACTTCATCGCTTTGGCTCCTCCACCAGACCAGAGAAGTAAAACACAGTAAAACAGCCTGTCCTTAAATGTTTGTGAACACAGACCCAAAGAACAGGGCTTTCTGAGAAATGAAAGCACTTAGAAGAAGCACAGAGCCAGCGCTTGTAGACGGGATTCCCCTCGGTACTGCAGGACCGCGTTAGCAGAGACACCGAGCCAGCAGAGATTCCCCTCCCGAGTTCTGACTTGGCACTTACCCGGTGAACTGCTCACATGCTTTCTAGTGACACAGTTGTCTCTTCATTCACAGGCAGCCTTAGTCCAGGGCAACGGAAGTGCTTACAAAGGCAGGACAGATACAGTCATGTTTGGCAAGGCTGACAGTAGCATCTGTGTGGCTCATTCCAGTGGTTCTCAACCTGTGGGTTGAGATATCCTGGGTCACATACTGGATATCCTGCACCCCAGATATTTACATTGCAGTTTATAGCTGTAGCAAAAGACAGTTACAAAGTAGCAATGAAATAATTTTATGGTTGCGGGGGGGGGGGGGTCACCACAATAGGAACTGCATTTCAAAGAGTCACAGCATTAGGAAGGTTGAAAACAGTTTTTCCTGTTTTGGTTTTTCAAGACAGGATTTCTCTGTGTAGCCCTGACTCTCCTGGAACTTGATCTGTAAACCAGGTTGGCCTTGAATTCAAAGATCCACCTAGTGCTGGGACTAAAGGTATACGCCACCACCATCCAGCTTTGAGAACCACGCTTTTAGACCATGCAGTGATTAGGTTTTCTTTTGGTGCTGGGGATTCAAACTTGACCCTTGGACATGCTAGGCAAGTACTCTACCTCTGAGCTGTGCCATAGCCCTGCCCCCTGCCCCCAGGTGGGAAGTCCTCTGGATAATGCAGTTACCACAGGGTTGACATGTGTTTGCTTTTCTGTAGAGTTCACACGCTGTAGATATGTTAGCACCAGTAGTGGAGACCTCACTCACGTAGCATTTACTCATAGGAAAGGGCTTGTATTGGTAAGCCAGGATAAATAATAGCACACAATGAACTTAACCAAGCAAGGCTACCCCCTTTTTAGTGTACTGCATGTCCTACCTTAAAGGTTAAACAGAAGGGGGTACAGGAAGACAAAATCTTTTTTTTTTTAATTTATTTTATATAACAAAGTCCATTTAAATGAAAACAAACATTTATAGACAATATTTGGGAATTGGGGCGTTGTTCTTTCCAAACTACTCAGGAAGACAAAATCTTAACACATGATAAAATCCCACAGAAAACTCAAAAGTAGCACATTTAAATAACGTCTACCTGGAGATGACTAGAAGGTAGTATACTGGGGGCCATCTGCATGAGTAGCGAATACTTTAAGATGTTATATAAAATAATTTATAGTAGCAACAATATTTATCATAAAGTCAACAAGCAGGGAGAAAAACTTTGCACCAAGTATAGGCAAATCTAAGATACCATCAACTAAAATAATATTGAGTCAAATATTCACGGTTTCCCGTTGGACAAAGTTGAGCAAGCCAAAAGTCAAATAGCTTCTTGAGTGGGTATGTGTATTTATTTGAGTGACCATAGACACCCCATTGTGAATGTACTTAGTGGCACTGAGCTGATGGCAAGTTCATGCTAATGTTCCAACACTGCATGAGGTATTTGAATTAAAAAGAAAGGAAAGTGATAACTTTTAAAATTTATTTTTGTCTGTCAAAAACTCTCAAGACTTTTGGTACATTTTCTTTGCTAGTATTTGTCATTCTGGGTTCACCCTGAAAGAAAATAAGAGTTAAAGAATTTACTTTTGAACCAGAT